AGAAAAGATTGGGCTACCGTTTGATTCCAGTTAACACCATCTGCTGTAGCAGTTGCACCCCACAGGGTATTACAAATTTAGAGAAAAAAAAGTTTTTCTCATTCTTGCAGCCCGTATATGCTCAAATTAAAACCTAAATGAAAATTTCTATCGCAGGATTATTACCGAAGAATCAACCAATTCATTTTGGCTAATTTATAGTGGCCGGTTTTTTTTGCCGGTCAGTTTATTATAATACTGTCACTTTATATTCCATTAAAATACCTCTCTACTTAAAATGGGTCTCCTTATTTTTTTTCATTTTTATATTACTTACTTCTACATTCTAAAGCTGGTGGAGGATTAAACATGCGCCACATCGGTTTTGGACAGACTTCGCAAGTGGTGGGCATGTGAAAAGAGATCTGTAGGAACTCGTGACCTTTGTGCATTATTGTCCCTGGTTTATTGTCCTCGCTCCTAATCGAACTAACATCCAAACTGTTAACTTGTTCATCACTTTTCCGCGCCTCCCCTTCTCCCGCATACAATAACTGAAATATTCTCGGGATATCTTTGGATTCAGCACGAATTACATCGCCTTGTGTAACAGATCGAACGTGAAAAACTTTACTACAAAAAAGAAACAAAAAATAATTAATACACAAATATCATCAAAATATTAAATACAAAAATCTTAAAAGTGTTTTTGTAAGTTGAATCATTTAATAATTTTTTAAGGTTAGAGTCAGGTTGAGTTAGGTTTTAAAATACCTATAGAGGTGTGTATATTGTAAGTAAAGATATGCAGGTGGGTAGTGCAAGTTAGAAAATAGCACACATTTTAGGGATTTACAAAAAATCTGCCGAAATATCTATACAATTATGAAACACGAATGTTTCGATGGTGTGGTCGGGAATTTACAATGAAGCCTATACAGATTTTTAATCTTTGTTAAAAGTGGCGCCTTAAATCACTGACCTAGAAAACAAAAACTGGGCACCCGAAACAGTTTTGCAGAAGCACTTACATTTTCTTAGAATTACAGAATTGCGTACGTCCTTCATTATTGTAAACATCTGTTCTCAGTTCTAATATGCGGTAAAAACAAAGACAAATAAACAAGAAAACAAATTTAATTTAATGTAATAATTAATAATAAC